AAAACTCTAAATCACCAGAAACATAAAATCCCAGGGTCCATAGTTCCCGGGACTATGCTGGATGTGTCTGGGGTGGCTGAGGAGGAGAGAGATTTGTCACAGACACAGAAAGTGGGGTTTCTGCCCTGACAAACAGAACTGATGATTCAGAAGAGAACTGAACCCCGAGACCCATCAGGTTACCAAGCCATGCGAGGAAACTCAGCTCTTAGTAGCCTAGGTGACAGACGTGCAGGGCGCGGAGGGCTCGCATGGACCCCAGCACTGGGCCTTGGTCAAGTGGGTGGATGGAGGGCACTGCAGCCCAAACTGGGTGGTGCCACGGCCGAAGCTTGGTGGCTGCCCGTGGTTAAGGGGTGGTGGGGAGGGGCTGGTGAAGGGCAGCCAGAGGAGCTTGGGGATGGACTAGGCACCATGGCAACGAGGCTCCGCAAGACTGGAGGGCTGGAAGTCCTTCCTGCTGGACTCCTAGGTCCTGGCGGTTGTTCCTGCTGGCGATGTAGCAAGGTGATGATGGGAAATGGGGGGAGGAAGGACTTCCAGCCCCACTGGACTGTACGAGTGTCACCTGACACTGAGGACTTCACGCCCAGCAGGCACAGGCAGGGGGGGTGAAATTAGGGTGACCAGCACCAACCATCCCGGTGTGCCGGGACTCCTGGCTTTCTGTTTTAAAATAAGGACAGTCTTGGGAAAACTGGGATGAACTGGCTCCCTCCAGAGAAACAAGTTTTCAGTGGTAAGCAGGTTGTATTTTAGACCAGAAGCAAAACAGCATGGCACCCAACTGGTGCTCAACCCAAACCTGAAGTCGGGGTGCAGTGTCCAGGCCTAGACTTGACACATTGCACTCAGGACAAGAACCAGTCCCCACGCCTGCTGACCTCTTCCCGTATCATAGAAGCATCATTTGTGCCTTGGGTCACCTCTCCTCAGAGGCCGAATTCTCTCCAGCGCCCTTCCTTTGGGCGCTGGGGCGACTACCAGCAATTTCTCCAAACTTCTCCAAACAGGAAGGTTGGAGGTCCTTTCCTTTACCCCCAGTTCACCCTTGGGACCTCAGGAGCCAACCACCTACAGGACTTCCGTCTATGTTCTCCCTGGGAGCCAAGCTCTGCCCTGCAAGCCCCTTCACAGTCTCTTCTATAGAGGAAGCCTCTGTTCCCAACCTGTCCATTCAAATGTTAAACCTGAGCCCCCAGGAATAGAAGCAGGGGACAGTGGCAGGTGATTTTAGGTCCTGGGGTTAGGGCCTTCCTGAAAGGGGTTAGTACCCATCTCATCCAGTGGGGAGGTGCCCAGAGAACCCACTGCCCCTTCTGCCCTATGGAGGAGACAGAGGGAAAGGGTGCTACCCAGGAGTGGGCCATGGAATCAGCCAGCGCCTGATCTTGCATTGGCCAGGACTGTGAGCAAGGCCTTTGTGCAGCTCACAGGCCTCTTCTGTGGTATTCTGTCACTCACTGCAGCCCTGACAGCTGGAGACACTCTTCTTCTAGGACATAAAGTCCAACTGGGAGACAAAGCAATGTGCTAAGCAGGCCAACTTGCATGCACATTTTAAAATAGCATCTCAGGGTAGAAATCCGCTCATCTCTATAGCGACCCAGCTGTGCTTACATACACTGCGTGGGACTTTGTCCTCCCCAGCCAGGCCTTAGTTTCCCCATCGGGACTAACATTTCTAAAACTGCTACAGTTTAAAAGTGTAAGAGAAAGAAACAAGAAAGGAAGAAATGCCGCAGTGTAATACTTTTTCTTTTGACACTGGGGTCTCGCTATGTAGTCCAGGTTGGCCTCAACTTGAGGTCTTCCTGCTTTAGCCTTCTTCTGAGTGCTGGGAGTACAGGTGTTTCCCACCACGCCCAGCTGTGCAATACTTCTTAGAACAGCAGGCCTCAAACTATAGTGTGCATCAGCATCCCCTGCAGGGCCTGTCAGAGCAGACCGTAGAGCTCTTGCCCCGAGTATCTTCCTGCTTCAGGAGGTCTGGGCTGGGCCCAGGTTCACAGGGGAGGCTCATGCTCCTGGTCCCAAGACCCCACTTTGAGAAACACCCACTGTGCTGCAATCCAGCATTCATGTACAGTTCACAGGAAGCTGTCCAAACATGCCTGGATGGATTTCTCTTAGATATTGGCTTGAAAGAGTCACATGGCCTCTAAGCCAAAGAAGTACCTATCTGATGCATTTGGAAGAGGATGCTACTTGTGAAAGCCTCTTCTGAAAAGCTTTGCCCTGCCTACCATCTAGGGTGGGTCTAGCCTTTGTCTGCCTGGCCCTGGATCCCCACAGCACTGCCCAGGCAGATACCCTTCCAGCCTGTGTGACACTTCAGGGCCCCTTCTCTTTGCCAGCCTATGTCTGCCTGAGGGCCCAGAAGCTGTATTTGTCAGGGAGCTAGGGACACAGTAGATTGGTCATACATGTGACAAAGTAAATGTAAATATTCAAAACACACAAACACTTCAGGCTAGCAGAGTGAAGACATCTTTCCCTACCTACCTGCGTCCAAGTTAATCTGCACCCCTGCAATCTGGCTGGAGCCTACGCTCCCACCTTTCCCTGGCTCAGCCAGTCCTCACCCGTCGAGAGGGGCAGCCGTGGCACTTGAGTGTGACTCTGAGCCCCACCTCCTACTTGCCAGGCCTCTTATTTTCTGTAAGGCCCGCCCCGCTCTCCTCCAGAACTGGTCTTCTGATTTTACTCCAAAGCGTCCCGGTTTTGGGTCCATCCAACATATCAGCAAGTGTGGCAGTCCCTCTCTTTGTTGTGAAAATTGCCCGTTTTCTCTCTCACTCAGGGAACTATCTTCTGACCCAGGTTTCCTGAGCTCATAAGTTCCAAGTCCTGGAGGCAGCTGTGTACCTCAGCGTGGGCTACTGGAAGCTCCGTTTTCATTAAGGTGGGCAATTTTGACTGCATGCGACTGTCAGGGGCTCCGAGGAGGAGAAACCTTAGCCAGCTGGCCCGACAGCCCAGCAGCTATCTGCACCATCTGCCAGGTTTTAGTTACCAGCCTTGAAGCCAAAAAGAAATCGGTTTCTTGGAAACAAAAGTGATGGAATTTGGGTTGTGAATTATATAACCCACCAGCGTTCCTCAGACTCTGCTGGGATTCTCTGACATAAAGAAAAGTTTTTAAGACAAAGAAACGAATCAGGAAGCACCATAAACACCTCTGACCTGAGAACTTCTGCCAGCCTTTCCTTTCCTCTGCTTCTAGCCTGAGAAATTAAGTGCTGTGGCTTTAAGAGCGGGAAGGTGTTGTTTTAAGGGCCCCAGAGCCCCCCTTCTCAATTTCAGTACAGGGCTGACATCACATCCCCCAAGGCAGCCAAAGGACAAAAGCCATTTATCAACCCATCTGATAAAACTTCCAAAGGGCTGGATCTTTATCTAGACCCAACCAAGGGGAACACAAACTGCAAACTCCTGCTTCTCCGAAAGGGGGATTTCTTTTTTAACATGAGGGTGATTTTTATTTTTTTTTAAATCTGGCCATCTGGCTAGATTAAGTAGATGGAGAAACTGTCTTTTCAGACAACCGGGGTCCTGAGAGGACACCATGCTACCGTGGGGTTTTGATATTCCTGGGCACGTGGGGGCTGACACCCTCTTTGGGGACACCGACACCCTCTTCTTGCCCTTGGCAGGGTCTCCCTAGTGCAGCCCAGGGCTCTGGAGCAGGCCAGGCGCTGGGGGCCTCCAGCAGGGCTGGAACTGGGTGGTAAACTGAGCCTCCGCCCCACACTGCTCTGCTCTCTACGTGGGCCGCCCACTGGGAGCACCAACTTGTAGCTAAGCCCAGTCGGGACTGCCCAGTTCTGCCAGTTCCTTGAAACCCACTTGGCTGAAAAGCAAATCAAAACAACCCAATCCGAGACTAACTCAAGTCCTTTCTTGCAGATCTCGGCTGCATACAGGGGTGGCAGATTTGCCTGGCTGCCTTGTGAAACCAGCTGGAATTTTTGCAGAGAGACACCTCGGAGCCCCGCCACACAATGCAGAGGCAGCCGATCTATCGTGCCACGCACGGAGGACCACTTGGCCCGGGACACTGCGTGTATTTGTATTTCTATCGCGAGAAAAATGGGTATAAAGGGTTTAACTGGCGTTTCCAGGCTGTGAGCAGCATATGGCAAAAATGAAATAAAGTTTTATGAAACATTATAAAGAAAACACACTGGGGATTTAAGTTTCGTGCCTTTCCCCCTCCCTCCGAAAGAGGAGAGAAAAAAAAAAAAAAGTAAAGAAACCGGAGCGTTCGGGAAGGAACAAATGCTTCTCTGTGGAGTTGGTCTCCCTTCCCCCAACAAAAACAAGAGGTCCGGGCTCCGAGGAATTTGAGAGCAGAGATCTGCCAAAAACATTGTGAAAAACTATGGGGGATTCATTGGAAACAGATGGGCTTTTTCAGCTTTAATTCTGAAATTCTCTGCCTTTCTGACACAATAAAAACAAACAGGGGGCGACACGGAATGTAATCAAACAGGAGTACGAGCTCATTTGAACCGGGTCGGTGGGCTTGCCCGCGTGGGGAAGCGCGTGGGGCGGGACTGGGCCCCGGGGAGGGGGCCGTCGGGGACACGGCAGGGACCTCCGGGACGGCACGCCGCGTCTGCCCCCCGGGAACCCGGCAGGTTTGCAAACGGTGGAGGAGCTGGAGCTAAGTGCGCCTGGCTCCCCTTCTCCTCCGGAACCGCTGGGGGCGCGTGCCGGACACCCCCTTTCTTTCTTGGGAGCAGGCGCGGGGCGCCCTAGGGCCCGGAGGTCCCCTCGCCCGCTCCTGCCCTTCGCAGTGCGAGCGCGTCCCCCCGGTCTCCACGGGCACCCATGGCGTCCCCAGCGGGGCTGCAGGGAAACAAAGGCCCGCGGACACGGGAGGCAGGGGTCCCGGGGGACTGGCGAGATTGAGCCCCGACTCGCGGGCGATCCCGTGCTCAGGGTCGCAGGGAGGCCCCGGCCGGCTGTCCCCCGGCCAGGGCACAGCGCCTTACCTGCGGGGAAGCTGCAGAGAAGGAAGGCGAGGGTCGGCCAGAATCCCAGGGCTGAACGTCCTGCCCCTCTCCCCATACCCATCCATCCAGCTCGGCCTGTTACCACTAGCCTCTCCCTGGAAGAAGAGTTTAGAAGGGAAGAAAATAAATCGCGCTGCTGCGGAGAAAAGGCAGCCTCGCTGCGCCGGCTGGGGCAGCGAGCCGAGGCTCGGTCCACCTCGGCCGCCCGCGGGCGCCCGGCTCTGCCCCTCTC